AATATGCATGTTATTGCAAAGCTCTTTAGAGATTGAAACACTATATTGTGCTCCAATGACTGCAAGGCACTACCATCAAAAAATCTTTATTTATGTATCATCTATATTTTTGGAGGGCATGTGTTTTTATGGTATTCTCTTTTAATAGGTAGTGATTAATAGAGTACAATTTTTTGAGATTTTTTCTATATGTAGTGAAATAACAAGATATTCCTTATTCTTTTTCCCTATCAACTGCTTTTTTGTTGTGTCCTTGAGTCTAGGGTCTTCGAAAACAGACTTTCTATCTTTATATAATATGAGTAAGGTCTGCGTATACACTATTCTTCCTAGGTTCCATTTATAAGATTATAGTGAATATGTTATTGTTGTTGGATTTTTTTGTGTGCAAATGAATGGTGGGGACATTGTGGGGACATACTCTTATGCTATTAACCAATTTGATTAATTACTTCTTAAGGTTAACACTAGAACGGTGGTGGTCTAATTCTATTCACACTAATGTCACTTAGTGAGAATTTATTCAACAACAAAAGTCAAAATTTTCTGGAGTATTATCTTAATTCAAATAAAATGCGACAAAGTATGATACTTGGTGTTTAGAACTTTTATACATTCTCCTAAGTAAATTATATTTTAGATGTCTAATTAACCTGTTTCTGAATCAGAAATTTGTTGCATGAGCAAAAAATAGTAGTAGTAATTATTAAATACATTTATATATTACTTCAACTAAAATGATTATTTTTTTCTTAAGACGAGGGTCTTTCGGAAACAACTTCTCTGCTCTTTCGGGGTAGGGTAAAGTCTGCGTACACATTATCCTCTTCAGACCCCACTCGTGAGATTTCACTGGTTTGTTGTTGTTGTTGTTGTAAAATGATTATTTTTATTAAATACTATTTAATTGTTACTTAATTAAATAATTTTTTCCGCTATTTAAATAATCACATATGGTTTTAACTATCCAACCAAACTTACGGTTGGAAAAGAAAAAAAAGAACAAAGCTCATGTAGTTTGAAATTCAAATTTGGAGAAGAACGTGAGAGTCACGTGCGGCAGCGCCGAATCGAGAAACAGACTGATCCAACGGTCCAGAGAATCGCGTCAGGGCAAAGCTATGATGTGAACGAAAACGCTGATTACAAAACCCTTTTTCTCCCAACTATATATATCCCTCCTCCTTAATCCTCCTCATTCCTCTCAAAACCCTCGCAGTATTCTCCTCAAAACAAACATGGTTAGTACGCTATCTTTGATGCTCAAAAGTTCCGTTTTGTTGTCTATTTTTGTAATGTTATGCTTTTAGTTTTTTCTTTTGTCGATTTGTGGTAATTTTTTATGTATCTGAATGACTTGTGATTTATGCGTATCGTTTTTGGGTGTAGGCTCTTCCAGGTCAGCAAGCCGTGGATTATCCCAGTTTTAAACTTGTTATTGTTGGCGATGGTGGAACTGGTAATTTTTCTCTCTTTCTTTGAGGAGTACTTGTGCCTTGATTATTTTGAAGTGTGATTAGAAAGATTTGCTTGATTTCGGTATAAGTGAATTCTCTAATGAGAGTGTGTTTATATGTGGTTTTAAATCAGTATGGTTACTGAAAGTCTTAGATCTATTGAGCTGCTGTTCTAACTAGATTTTGTGTTAGGTTGAAAAAGGAGTGATGGTTTTGTGGATTAAACTGTTTTGTTCTTTTTCTTGTTTTTTAATTACTTTTCTGATTTGGAAGTTTTTCTTTTTGTATAGGAAAAACTACATTTGTGAAGAGGCATCTTACTGGTGAATTCGAAAAGAAATATGAACGTAAGTGTTGGCTGCATGACGCATAGCTTGGTTGTTATTTCTTGGCTTTTTTTCTTCGTAAGACTGATTTTAATTCTGTATTTTGGAACAGCCACCATTGGAGTGGAGGTGCATCCTTTGGATTTCTTCACAAACTGCGGGAAGATTAGGTTTTACTGCTGGGACACAGCTGGTCAGGAGAAATTTGGTGGCCTTAGGGATGGATACTAGTAAGTAATTATTCCATTTAATTCAGTATGTGCTCATTGCTATATAACTATGATTGGCAATGATGCTGTATGTAATACTTGAAAAAACTTATTCCATTGTTTTATGTGAGCCGATACGTACTTCTCCAATATAACCTGTTTATTTGTGGTTTTAATTCCAACTGCTAATTATGTGCTAAGTGAATCAACCTATATAAACTTTATGAGGGAAAAATGGACCTCAAGTAACTTGTTAGGGTATTTCTTAGGTTCCCATTTTTCTTTTTGTGCCGATGATTGATAAATAGTATACCATTCTCCAAGTTTAAAGTGAGATGTATTACATGCTGATTGAACTCAATGTGGAATGTTGTGTGGATTGCGGTATGGTTAAATGCATCTCTTTTATCAGCTGTAAGGGTCTAGCGCTTTTTTAAAATGAGCATAGCAGAAGGTTGTTCAGTGTCTTTTTACAATACCATTATGGAATCTCTATGTATTTTCAAGTGTTATCTAAACAAGAGTCATATGCTGTGTGTATTCCATCTTGACTTGCTACTGTCTCTCTGCAGTATTCATGGTCAATGTGCGATCATCATGTTTGATGTGACAGCCCGATTGACATACAAGAATGTGCCCACATGGCATAGGGATCTTTGCCGGTATGTCTAAGCATCCTTTTAAAATTGATTTTATTCTCTGGTTTGTGTTTCAAACTGAAAGATATTTACATCTGTTGAATCAGTGTCTGTGAAAATATTCCCATTGTTCTTTGCGGAAACAAGGTTGATGTGAAGAACCGTCAAGTTAAGGCTAAGCAGGTCACTTTCCACCGGAAGAAGAATCTGCAATACTATGAGATATCAGCAAAGAGTAACTACAACTTTGAGAAGCCTTTCCTTTACCTTGCCAGGAAACTTGCTGGGTACTTACTTTCTTCATTTGACTATTAGCTAAATTGTGCCATTCTGCAGAAGAAACGTACTAGAATCATATTCTAATGATGTTTTCAATATGATTTCTCTGTTAATAGGGATCCTAACTTGCACTTTGTGGAGTCTCCTGCCCTTGCTCCTCCTGAAGTACAGATCGACTTGGCTGCACAACAACAGTAAGTTCTTCACCAATTTACCTCTTCTCTTCGAGTAAATTTGTGTAGATTTTGATTGTCATTTCTTCCCTATGTTTTTGTAACTTTGATGTGTTGTTGCAGACATGAGGCTGAGCTTGCTGCTGCTGCCAGTCAACCCCTCCCAGATGATGATGATGAGACCTTTGATTAAGAGAGTAATCAGCCTTCTCGAACAGCATTCATGGATGCGGTTATGATTTTTCTTTTTTCCTATGTACTGGTGTCCCATTTTTTTCCACCATTGATGGGCTTCTGAGGACTCTCTGTTCCAGAATATGTAGGCTTTTTGAACTCTGTTCTTGTTCTATTTTCTTTCTGGTTGTGAGAACGATATGAAGTTTTTATTCATATCTTCTGAATGTGGGATCTCTGTTTGTTTGGATGGACCGATTTGGATAGATGAAGCTACTTTGGTTGCTTATTTTATGCATGTTCTGGTTCAGCAGTATAGCTGCTCTATCCTAGTTAGAGTTGTTACTTGTTACAGCTCCGAGCCTCCGACCATGTAGAAGCTACCAAGTTTGACTGAACTTTAAAATCATGACCTCGGGGTACAAGTTCTGGATGATGTTAATCTTTTGGGCATCTGAGAAGGTAATGTGCGCGCGCTTATATAAGAATGATATGTGAACAGAGAGACATAATAACAACATAAAAGATCTTTGCATTAGACTTAACAGCCACCTTTTGGGTGGACGCTTTGTCCCTGCTTGGGCCACATCATACGAGTCGACCCGAAAAAGCTCCAGATGAATCCTTTCAAGTCAGGATAAAAGAATGTTAATTACCATGCTCACAGTTCGAAAAGTTAAATCTTAAATGAATTATTTTGCAAATTCTTTTAAGATTTGTTCTTACTCTACATAATACTACAAAGGTTAGTATGACAAATTTCGTAGGTTGATTTGTGTCGCATGGCAAAAAGAATCAAGATCTGAGCTACTATCAATTTATTTTTAAACACTAATTGCTCTTAAGTTTATATTATCATGAACTAAATGATCCCTTATCGAGTGAGAAGGAAGCGACTCTTCCATGGAGAGTCGGTTGAAAAAACTAGGGAAGCTTAGAGTTAAGGTGCTAAAGAAGATGTTTTACTCGTCCCCTTATTAGGAATGATATGAACAAATTTCAGTGCGTCTACCGTCGTATTTCTTACATCAACAGAGGAGTTTCGGCTGTGCTTTTTAAACATATAGACTACACAAAAACATTGTATAGACTGAAAATACATATTCGAACACAGCTAACTTTTGATAAGATCTCTGAAAGCCATAAGTAGAACGACAAGATAATGAACCACGATTACAAACACAAACACAAGGATTATAACGCATAGACTGAAAAGGCATATTCTCCGGGTGATAATACTTTGAATTCACGATGCATGTCATACACAAACACAGAATTGAGGCTGGTGCCAATGACGGTGTGCTAGAGAGGGGCTAGACCCCTTTCAACACAGCATCACTTCTCAAATATTTCTCCCAACTCACATTATGATTCTCAACTACTAAAGGATAACTTCGCCGGTCTTGTGAACATTGTATATAATGCAGTATGAGCATCTGTAAACATTTTGTATCTTCATTGCGGATGAAATATACCCTACATACAACATAACAAACGCTTCATTTACTTAGATCAAATACTCTGCTGTTACTTGCTGCAATCATCCCTCCAGGAAGATGCCATTGTCATGTCCCCATCTACCAGGCAGTGAAATTAACTGCATAAAGGAAACCAAATTGGTTTCTATAAGACAGTTCATTGTGTCAGGGCGCTGCAAAGATAACAAGGCTCCATGCCTCGACAAAAGGAAAAAGAGAAAAGGCCTGTATTGGTTGCGGAGCAAAGTAATAAGATTGCAAAGTCCTTACCTCAACTCTTTTTTTGTGTGGTAAAATAAGGTATTTATAATATGAAGTACACAGAAGGTACTATAGAAGTACAAAAGAGAGGATCATAACAGTTACATCATCATATCCTCCAAAAAATTCAAAAGAAAAGATGGACGATCCAGCATATTGCTCCCAAGTATAAATAGCCTGCTGACATCTATTTTCTACAAAGAGGTAGGTTGTCTCTTTCCTTCAAAGCATCTATTGTATTATTCCAATCATATGGTCCACAAGATGCATAATGGGCTAAACTCGTAAGCTTCTCACATCCTGAGGCACCACCCAAATGACTCCTTAGCTCAACTCATTATGCTCAATGATTCGCTTATCAAGATAATAAGTCAAGTTCATTTTCCTTTTTCCTATTTTCCTTGTACAATTTGCATCTGACCTCAACATAGTGGATCAAGGCATTCTCATGTTTCAAAGTTAAAAAAGGCAACACCACTATCTAAAACCCGTCATCATGCTTCCACATGCCCCGTTTGACCTGCTGTAAACACCTTTCAAAAGATAGAAACTCAAAAAAGGTCTAACCGGAACTCAACACCTCAAACGGCAATAATGGATTTCTGAACACCTTCAACTTTTTGTTGTCTCTCTTCCATTCTCATAACAGAGAAGATAGAGAAATGCCAAAAATTATTCATAAAGTACAGAAATCTGGGTGTAATTCATTAAAACTGGTAATCTTAAGCATTCATGCTTGAGCAGATTCTCGTTTTGAAATACATGATTTTGCTAAAGTGCAAATGTAAAACTTTATCTTAGAGAAATATCCAAAGTGCAGATGTCCTAGAACCATGTCGAAGGAACTCGGCAAAATGACCCCGTAACTTCGGGAGAAGGGGTGCTCTCCTGTCTTTTGATTAGGAAAGCTGCACATACCAGGGTGTAGCGACTGTTTATTAAAAACACAGAACTCTGCTAAGTGGTAACACGATAATCTGGTAGATGAGACAATCATCAAATTGGGAGGATGATAAGATCACTTTGAAAATAAGGAAAAAACAAGGATGACTACCAAACAGATATCTGGAATCACCACTAGAGGCATCAACTGGCACCTCTGCCAAGTGAAACGCCCCTTCAACCATGGCCCCACCCTCCCCGACTCAATACAACCAGAAAAAAATTTGCGAGAAAGTAATATTCCTTGACCAACATTATGAAGTAGCCAGGTAAGCAAGGTTAGGAGAAGGTCAACCATTATGTTTAGCACTTACCTTGTAGTGTTGTGGATGGGACACAGCATATTTACTATATGAGAACATTAGCTCGGCTGTACCACCTTGCAATAACTAAAGCATTGACCAAGTCAGGAAGACAAGTATCTTCTGCCTTGAGACGCCTTTTCAACCAGGAGAATAAGCCCAATAAGAGCTACAGATTAGCCAAAACTGTTATATGAACTAGATGATTAAGTCAAACTGATTGTGCATATAACAAATATTCCCTTATGAGCAGTTCAACAACTGACTCCTTAGAAAGACTGCAGTTTGACCTCGATTTAAAGCAGCAGTTAGAAGTGCACAGACCAACACATAAAAATATTCAGGCAAGTTCAGCAGTCAACTTCTTAACCTTGATAAATTCTCAGCCACTTAAAAATGATTTGAAATTCTCATAAAAAAAACCATCTACTATCCATAAGGAATGTGCCACACGACCAACCTCTTGGAGTTAGTAAAGAAGAGTTACATGTTTCAGCATATTAGCACCATAACCGCGATTCTATGCCAATTAAGCTATTGTTTAGGTTAGATATCTCATTAACACATCGCATGTATATAATGGAACTTGTGCATGTCTACACACTCAGCTCCTTTTGTCAAAATACATAAACCAAACTCCAGAAATATAATAAAGCATGATTCTAGGAGACCATTTAAACCTGAAAAAAGACAGAAGGAATTCTTTCAAGTACTGTTATTAGCAAGCTCAACAAGAACAAAAATGAGTCTTCAATTCATTATCCTAGTGAATTAATTCTCTGTTTACTCAATGCAGCTAGATCTTGTTTTACAAAAATTGTGCAGTCTAACAACAATACTCAGACTTAGCAGGTTCCACGTCCGGATAAAAGAAGGGTTGTTGTAGATTAACAACACGTGGGAATATAATCAATTTATGATGAATCCACATAGTAATGAATTTGTTGGGGGTCTGAGTAGAGCGGAACAGATATAATGATTCATATTTGGGGACTAAAATTCAATAAATACGATTCTGCAGCCTTAACTAAACTGGAACCAACTTCCTTTAAATGGCATCATCGTGCATGTAGTTGAACATGTTACCAATTGATTGACATCGTAAAAGTAGTGAAAAAACTGTCAAGCTTATTCAACTTGTTTGTTATTTGCTCCAAAACTGTCAAGCTTATTCAACTTGTTTGTTATTGCTCCAAAACTTAATAAGATGAAGCTCTCTCTCTCTCTCTCTCTCTCTCTCTCTCTCTCTCTCTCTCTCTCTCTCTCTCTCTCACTCATTATTTATAAGAGAACAAAAAAAAAGAATTCTCCCTTTTTTCTATAAGGAACAAATTATGCCTGGAACAGATTCCAATATGAAACAATAAATTGCTACAGATTTTCCAAATGCCAAAAAATTATACCAACAAACAGCCTGAAATGGACAAATAAAGAATAAGAAGAAGAATACACCATCAGCGTGAAATAAAAATTGTATCTGCTCAAGGAATAATTCACAATGCAAAGGAAACAGTGGCAATTGACCTACTTATAATAGCGAAACATGGTAAACAGAGACAGAAATAAACCACATTATAAAATCACCAGCAGATCTTAAATCTAACCACCATCCACGATAATGAAATCCAAATTATTTGACAGCAAATGTGGGCTTACCTAAAGTTATACAGAATGTACCAAACAAAATTTACTACATGTCTACATTTTCCAACAATAAATCTTCCATGAGGAACTGCAAAGAAACATATCAACTCTTTTACTTCCTTCGAGAGGACGGAATTTATGCAGATTTGAAGCTTGGATACAAACAATGTTAAACTGCAAACAAAATAGGAAACCTGTGATGCGAGAGATTTGCCAAGATTTCTGGGAAAGCAGATGCATACAGTATCTTTATGCCACTTGAATGGCCGCAAATCCCAGCATCAACTTTATACATATGGAAGCAAGGGATGATGCTTCAATTTTTGGCCCTGGAATATGCATGGGACTGATTAATAATATCATCAAAAAGGAGCTTCATATGCTGCCAAATTTTTTATAGGAAAATTCTTCCAATAAATACATAGTTAAAACCATTAGTAACATTGGGAAGTTGTGCAGAATTAGAGCTTATATACAAAGATTCACAGAAAACGTAGATAAGACTTAAAGTTTCTAGTCCCAAGTTATAACCACCATTTCATACAGCTAAGCAACATTCCAAATTACATCTGAAGGTACAACCTTCTGTCCAAACTAAATAATCAGATAAAAAATTTCCAGGCTTATCCTTCAACTATTTGTATCAGTTAATCTTCAACTACAGCTTACATTAATGGGCATGTGCCCTCCTTCAAATATTTTGGCATCTAGTCTGCAAAAGCTCTTCGTACAATCATTTAAGAGGTACGAAAGAACTTTAACACACATTTCAATGAAGGATACAGTGTATTATCACTCCTATACCTGCTGTTGCTAAAACATCATTCATATCTCGTATATTTTGTGCTACATGATGTTTTTGCCTCTAAAATAGATATTTCTAGTGTGCAATGTATTCCTATACTGCATATAGGAATCACAAGATAAAAGTGAACTGAAGAAAACCCTGCCCGCACAAGGACAGGAATCAGTACAGTCATTCACCATGATATGTTGATACATGTTTCCAATATAAAAAAATATATACAATATCCCATACTACAAAAGCGAACAGTTAGAAAAACTGTATTTAACAGAACCTCCGAAGTTACAAAACATAACATGACATCTAGCTTTTTACAATTCTGTTAGCAACAGGAACCTAACATAGAGAAGAAAAGAAAGAAAAATATTACAGCTGCTATTTGATATAATATGAACCTTTAGAAGAAATTAGGTTCTTTAGCTCCATCAAATGTTCATCATTTGAAATATGCAGTGTTATACGAAGATCAGTTAATAATGCTTCTTTTTCCCAAGTTAATGGTCCATAAGCATATAATGCCACCAGGGTGCAGTGATAAGCATGCAACTCTAATCTATGAACACTTGTTGCCAATTCCTCTCCTGAAGGATTATTGTGACTTTTCTCCTTATATCCTGAAGGACCTGAACCACAAACTGACTCCGCATCACTACAAAGGCCACCTGAAACTCAACGTGAAACTTGTGGAAGATGACCTAATAATTCATTTGGTCTTTCACTAGTGACACTACAACTACCAACAGAGCAGGCATCACTATCGGAATCGCTAGGTTCCAAACTTCTCCTAGGGAATTTGCCAATGACACCACCTAAATCTTCTCTCTCCAATTCATTAAATCCATTTGATCTAATGTTAACGGAAGTATGCACCCAGAGTTCCTCATGGGTAAGCAACAGCATCTACCTTTTCCTGTAAGGTCACCAGAGCTGCTCGCTGCCTGCGATTATCTGTCTCGATTGCTTGAAGTTTCTGAGCATTCCCATAAAGTGAATCAACACCAGATGTGCAATAAGGAGACATTCTCTTTAGGGATCTTGATGAGATTAAACAAGACTCTTGTCCTCTATTTTTTCCTTCAGTGGCTAAACCATCAGTTTCTCCAAGAACTTTAGTATGTCCATCAAGTTGCAGCGGCTGCGACTTCATCTTCTGACTATAATCTTGAGCTGAAATTTTGTTAGATCTCTGGGTCCCAGCTTGATCACAACCCTACAAAAGAAAACAATAGTGAGATCAGGGAAGGCAAGGAAGAAATTTTTTATACAAATTATTGAAAGATACACCATATGCATAAAATATTCCACCTGCTTATTACTATAAGCACATCAAATACAATACTGTGTAAGGAAAACTAAACAGACATTCAAAAGTGTTCCCTCTTCGCATAGACGCTACCGAAACTGCCATCAATTAGAATAATAATTTTATAATTTGATATGATGCATATAATCTAGGACACTTAACCACCAGGGTCAAACCCACTTCCCATATTATTCAAGCTACACACCTTGTCCAGTCCATTTTTGCTACAGAGACCGAACGCATAGAGACACATATACACAAATGAAACAGTTCTCACAAAAAGATCTAGTTAAAAACAAATATGGACTCAAACAAAGCATAATGGATCTGAAGTAGACAGCAATACAAAATAATCCTGTCAAATGAACTTTTTCTAATTAAAAACAAAGGCAGGGAAAAGAGCAGATAAATGATGAGAGCAACTCCAAGTTATTACAAACTTTTATAACAAGCTTATTATCCGTAAAGCCAAACATAATAATAAAATGAAACAGAATATGTACCTTTCTGATAAAAATCCATTTGCCATCTTTCCAATTTTGTCTCTCTCTCATGCCTGATTTATGAATGCTAAGTTCCAGAGAGCAACCAAGTAGTCTCACCAAATAACGATCACGTGGTAAAATACTGAGCACGATGGCAACTTTCCAAGAGCAGTCATTATATACCTCCACAATGTCCCCAGGTGCCCAAGTCTCCACACACTGCACTACAGGGGGGCAGGGCCTTATCATCTTCCTTGATACCCTTTCTTCGATATATTCACTTTGCATTGGTGAACCAGATCCATATCTGACACTGCAAGTGTGGCCATTACCAGACACTATTTCGGCAGCACGCCATGAGATTGGCACCTCACCTCTGTTCATTACTTCCACCTTATCACCCTTTTTGAACCTCATTTGAGCAAAATCTCTTTCCAACAGCCACAACCTGTGATAAGACAAAAAGATATAATACTAAGCAAAATTCTGTAAAAAGATTCCAATACAACATAAGCACTGAAAATTAAGTTCAATAGAACAGAGGAGAACATGTTTGATTCCAGTCGAAAACTCTTATTACGTTAACTGTTCACATTATACCAAAAATTCAGCAAACCGATAGGCTAAATATCTCAAAACCTAATCTCAAAAAACTTATATACAACCCTCCTTCATTATACAAAACGGATAAGTTAAAATAGACAAAACCAAAGTTGACCATAGACCCCGAACTAAAAAGCAGCCTTCACAACATCACAATTACCTGAAAAAATCGTCTAATATGCCAAATCGCGTACAAATTAATTGCAATACTGAACCAAGTTGCACAACTGTTAAATCATTAGCTCAATATCTTTTTGGATTTTCGAGATTTAAGGATTTTTATTGCTGTTTCCCGAAGAAATTAGGATTGATTATCAAATAAGGAAAATGATCCCAATAAATTCATTAAAAAAAACAATAAAAATTAGAAAAAAATTCTCGTAATTGGCTTAAAGTTGTGATTAGCAATAAATAAATTCGATGAAATTCCCTAGAACAATAAAAATGAAAATATTCAGATGAAATCTCATAGAAGTCGTGAACTGAAGTTATAAAATTTCAAACCCTAAAAATACTAAATAAAAGAAATATTTAATTAGATTCGGATCATGATTAGCACAAAAAAATCTATGAAATTCCTAAAACTTATATAAATAGAAATTTCGATAAGATCAAATAGAAGTAATCGGCTGAATATTGCGGAAATTAACACCCTACACAATGAGGGGGAGAAACTTTTTAGCAAATAAAGAAAAAAAATACAATAAACGCCCAAAATAATTTAAGAAAATTCAGTTAAGCACAGAAATAATCTATTCAACTTCAGGTAATAAAAAACCCCAAATGAAGTAAAACATTCAATACGTTCCCAAAAATCGAAGAATTAGGGTTACAAAAGCCCAAAAATTACAAGGTAATAAGCAAAGAAAACGCACCTTTCTCAAAGAATTGATGAAATAGCTATCTAATTGCAAGTGTTTGTGAGTATTCTGGATTGTAATTGCTCCCCGAAAACACAAAGCTTTTAGAAATTAGAATTGGATATTGCGGTTCTAGGGTTTTGAAATATATTTTGGGGGTCGACGAGAAAGGGTAGATCCGTGAATAAATATTGGGGTGAGGGTACTTTGGGAAGATCTGCCAAATAGAGCGTGTTTTCACTTGCCTCTCCTTTGTTAATTCTCTTCTTTTTCCTTCTTGCCAGCGATTTTGAATTGAATATAAAAGTTTAAATTACCTTCTGAATCTAATTAATTATTAAAACAAAGTCAAGCATATTCTTTTTCACAATATTATTTCTTACAAATTTATAGAATGCAGAATTTCATCACAATTACAGCAAATTTTAATTCACAAACTAAGTCGTCTATCATCTAATCACATGTCATAAAGAGAAAAAAAAATTAAAACTCAAAACATAAAAAATATGCACAAAATACGAAATATTAAAGATACACACTTAAAAAAAAGACCCAACATCAATCTCAATGCTAGTTACAATAGCATAGACATCGAACTACTTCCTCCCATATAATACGTACTTTTGTTATTCTTGTGACCAGCCTTACACTCAATCGTGCACCTTAAAAGATACACTTTCTTATATTGCATTCTTGCTCTAGGCAAAGCATAATCATAATCTCATATATCCTCATTTTTCTCAAAGATAATGTACTTGCCAGCCTCAATATTAGACGGGCAAATAATTGATTAATGGTATTGTAGTCAAATTGAGAAGCAAAGGTGTGAATTCATTATGCCTATATACATTCTTGTAAAATTCTTTCACAAAGAGTATTGCAATTGATTCATCCTCTACGGAAAAAATTGTGCATTTTCTCTTTATGATATATATATATATATATATATATATATATATATATATATATATATATATATATCATTCCTTAGTCTAAAATAAAATGTAGTATATTTTTCAAGCCTCCTTGAGGGGGGGAGGGGGGAGGGCGGCAAACCCCTACCAATGTATTGATAACCGAACAATTACAAAAGAGAGGGTGACATGTTGCCTAACCTCTTGATCCTAAATGTGTAATATACAACATCATTCCAGTATAAAATTATATAGAAACCTGGGATCCTATCCATGACAAAAAAGTAGTGCAATCTAAACTATAACTATGCTTAAAATGAAATAAGGGAGAGTCCTCTTTAACAAGATATAGCATTGAAGCTTTCAAACAATAACCTAAGATATGAGGACTATCCATAAACACCGGAGCTCCTTTTCCTTGGTTTTATTTTAAAAGTATGACGTTGTTTGATCCATCTTCATCATGGCTTTAACCTTACTGGGCAGAGTTGCCGCCGTAGGTAAAGATAGTTCTATTTTTACTAATCACCGCCAAATTAGCCAATGATCAGCAATCATGTTGGATTCCCTATAGCATTGGTTAATAACAAAATGTCCTTGGATTATCATTTTTCTGATAATGGTAATAATCTCCACCAATTGCCAGCTTGATTTAATTTTTCTTTTGACCATGTTCACAATTAACATATAGTGAGATTCAACCTTAATACTGTGAATTGATTCTCGATACACCAACTGATCCCAAATAGCGAGCATTGGCCTCAGAATTATTGTTGGAGCAATTGCCATAATAATCTGAAAATGCCATCATCAAATCTCTTCTATGATTTCTTGTGACCCATCATAGTACCGGAGCAGGAGCTTTTGGACAGCAGTAGGAGCATTGGGAGCTGACTTCAGTCCCGAGATTTCCGAGTCAGCTTGCTGGCGTCCGCATGGCCCGGAGTCTCTCTTATCTTCGTTTATCGTTTGATTTCCTTTGTATCGGATCAGACAGTACTTCATTTTGTTTCAGACTTTGTATTTAGCATTCTGTAGAAGTTCGTGAGTTAGTGACACCAGATCTGAGTAGAGACGTATTTGAACTTCCGCACTTGGTTTCAGTTACTATGTTTTGAGACTTCCGCTTTTATATTAACTGTCTCGTTGTTCTTTATATTGTTGATGTTGTTAAGAGTAGTAATAAATTAATTGGCTTGCCTAGCTCCTATTAGTAGGCGCCATCACAACTCCCGATGGTGGGAAATCCGGGTCGCGACAAGTTGGTAACCTCCTGTCTGTCCTGGGTTGCCCTTAGAGCAACTATCAATATTCAACTTAAGTTCAAAAAGGACGGGTTTATCCCATTTAAGCCTTTTAATCAAAAGGTTATGTTTAGCTTTCTCCGTAGTTGCAACTAACCTCCAACCATCTCCCACTAAAAGATAGAGCAGGAAAAGCCGAGTTCAAGAAAATAATCGTGATATAATTGATTTGATCAATAACATAAATGTAGGTATTGGGTTTTTAAGGTATTTAATTAATATATTAAATACTTAAAAGAGGGTGAATGGGAAATGGAGGGAAATGAAATTTTTGAGTGAAATTTTAAGTTCCCCCTCCCTTGGCAAATGGGCATTGTCCCATATTGGAAGAGGAAGAGGTTTTTTATGGGTATATAAGCAATTGCTCTTCTTCTAGCTCTTAAAGAGTTGAGAAGAAGGCAAGCCTCGCGCCGTCGTCGTCGCTCGCTCGGCTTCGGCTTCGGTCAAATGATCGATTGATTGATTAACTTTTTGGACCAAATTTATTTGTTAATAGTAAAATATTAACAGAAATGTTATTAAATATTTGTTTTAATAACAAAATATTAATATTAAATCCAATCCGTTTTTCTGTTTTGGTAACAGAAAAGTAACTACCCTCTTCAATTTTTCCTCTTTATTTTTCCTCTTTATTATTGAGTAAATGGCCATTTATGTAATGGCATTTATGTTGTGGGCGTTTTGCATAAACAGCCATTCTGAAGAGACCCAACTTTGGCTATAAATACAACACTATTCTGCTCAGAATTTTAACTACAATTTTCTGAGTTTCCTCTCCTTCTTCTGCATACTTTTAGCATCAAAACAAAGCAAAAAGTAAGTGTGATTTGCTACCAAACTTGGTGTTCGCTGAAACACTGGGGTTTGAAGTACCACTACACCAGTGTGTAATTCGTTCTATCCTGGGAGGAAATAATCCATAACCTTGGGTACTAGGAGGGGATTAAATTCCTTAAGGAAACACTGTGAATTCAGTGGGCTCGAATTGGTTTATGTCATTTCTGTTTATATTCATTACTGTTTATATTCATTTATATTTCCATAATTTATTTTACAAATACAGTGTAATAACAAATGTATGCGTTAAAATCCATTGCATTGTTAATACCATGGTTTCTTATGCATTAGTTATGCATAAGATAATACCAAATAGGGTGTATAACTAATGCTTGCATAACTAATGCATATGTTCAAAAAGTGTACCAAACAAAGTATTATTAATACACAAAGCTAATACATGCATTATTCTATTTAATTCATCCTACCAAACGGCCCTTTAGTTATTAAGTTTAATGAACACTAAAATACATGTAATAAGAAATTATAAAACACTCAATTTAGATAAGAGGGATATAATCTCTTGTATTATTCTTTTTTCTTTGGTTACCCAACCCGATGTTCGGTATCCACATTGGGGCCTGACTAAATTCGGCTTCATGCCGAAAAGTTCCACATTGGAGATAAAGCGCTCCCTAACAAAGGCGACTTCATACCCAGAAACTCGACTCGAGATCTCTGATTAAGGATGAAGAAGTACTTACCACTCCGCCACTACCTTTGTTGGTTGTATTATTCTAATTGTGTTATGTCTTTAACTTTTTTTCTTTCCCAAACACAAAAATCACATCTACCATTGTAGGCTTGTATATTACCTTAGATTGTTCCGTACCTTCTTCTCAATTCTGAACAAATTAAGTCAGTTTAAGCTATATGCAATTATGCATGTCCCGCAAAAACAAAATAATAAATGAATGTACACACAAATACACGTAGAACGCATGCATTATTGTATATTCACGTCATTCCATCGTGTTATTGTTGAAATGACGATGATAGCGCTTGTCCTCATTCAAAACATTAATAATTATTACTACAACAATTGTTTATTAATCTAAGTGGGAAGTCTTACTAGTATTGATTTGCTTTAACCACCAATTAATTGTATTTTTGTCTTAATCTACCACACTAATTACTAATCAGCAGGTGAAATGTCAATTCAAATATCAAATCGTAACCTTATTGTAAGGTAGTGGTTGTCGTAACAAATCAGATCATTGTCTCAAACGCCCTGATTACCTTCCTGAAGTTCTGATTAGATATCACTTAGAAAGGCGGAAAAGAAGGAGAGGGAAAGATGAAAGAAAAAAAAAAGTTGAGGTTTTCTTTTTGTTTTTTAAATTCATTTGTTTTTTTGGCAAACAAGTGGAAAGGACAAGAAAATGGAAACAATAAGAGCATCCCACGTGATAAATAAATAAGGAGCTTGATACACCTTTACTGAGTCATAATCTGTTTGGCAAAGCTGAAAAAATCAATTTATTTTAAAAATAATTTTTTTCAAAATTATTCTTTTTAAAAATACTTTTGGTAAGAAGTAGTTTGTGTTTGACTAATTTATTTGAAATGTACTTTTGAGCAGCAATTATTGTTTGGCGAAGCTTTTATAAACTAATTTTGGCGAAGAAATTTTTTTTATTTCATCACCGCAAATCAGTTACAAGCTTTTCCTCAGTACTTTCTTTTTCTCCTATTTCTTCCTATATACATATATATTAGCTATGTATTACTTGGTATCAAAACATTTCTTCCTATCTATCTATTCTACTGTATCTGCATGATCTTCTCAATCCATCCTCTTTCCTGAATACTTGTCTTGCTCTTCAAATAGGTGATCTTCCTCAATCTGCATTCTTGCTTTATTTGCCTTACAATGTATGTAGGTGTAGGGAGTTTGGACTCCCATACCACAGTGTTTCTTGCCTTCCATATCCAGTACACCAAAGCAGCTAATATGGCAGTGGCAACTTCCCTGCATCTTCTCCCTTTAAGTAGTCTGGTCACTCTTCTCCAAATCCCTGCTAACTCTGTCTTTCGTATTCCTATGTTCAGCCATTGTAGCACCTCTCTTAAGCATTGCTGGGAATATACACATTCAAAAAATAAGTGTTGTGTAGTCTCCTGTTCTGTTCCACATATTGGACATTTATCATCTTGACTAACACTCATACCAAACAATCTGGATTTTGTCAGCAACCTTTGGTGCATAGTGATCCAGCAAATAAAACTGTGCTTGGGTAGATTCATGTTATTCCATATCCATCTTCTCCATGTCCAGCTCTCCTGTTCCCCCATTCTCCATGTGTATCCCCCTTTTATTGTGTACTTTCCATTGGCATTGCTCCATAAGTTCTGATTATAGCCTGGAGCAAATATTTCTTTAATTCTGCAAATTTTCTTCCAATACCAGCATGCATCAGTGGGGCATTTGTACTGCCACCAATCCTTCTCCTTTAAGTAGACAGTGTTGATCCATTTCACCCATAGGTTGTCAGCTTTTTGGGCTATATTCCATACATATTTTACTATGGCGGCTTCATTCCATTTGATTATATCTGTTACCCCCAAGCCTCCTTCATGTTTTGCCCTACACACTATATCTCATGCCACTAGGGGTGGTTTATTTGTGACAGGTTTCCCATCCCAAATGAAATTTCTACACATAGCAGTTATTCCTTTCAGCACCTGCTTTGGGAGCAGAAATATGGTTGCCCAATAACTGTGGATGTGAAGTAGTACTGAATTCACAAGCTGTACCCTTCCTGCATAAGACAAATGTCTTGTCCCCCATCCTTTGATTCTGGCTGCTAGCTTATCTATAAGTATTTCACAGTCCATTTTAGATAGCCTCTTAGCTGATATGGGCACACCAAGGTACCTGAAAGGCAGATTTCCTTTCTGGTGTCCTGTCATCTCCATCAAATCCTTGTGGTGTTGGTTTGGCATATTGACACTGAAAAATGTTTGACTTGTTTGCATTTGTTTAAGCCTGAACTTTCTGAGAATGTTTTCAAGCCCCTTAAAAGCAGTAGCACTGATTGAAAGGTCCTTTACAGAATAGGAGCACATCATCTGCAAAACACAAATGGTTCAACTTCAAGTATTTGCATTTAGTGTGATATTCAAAGCCCACCTGCTCTGCAACTACATTCATTATCCTTGTGAAGTATTCCATGCATATGACAAAGATCAAAGGGGATATAGGATCCCCTTGTCTAAGTCCTCTTTCCCCTTTTATGTTCCCATACAGACCTCCATTGATTGCAATTTCAAACTGCACTGTTGTTATACATGTCATAGTCCATTTGATAAATTGTTGAGGAAATTCCAGTGCATGCATCATCTACTGGTAGTTGATGATGCAATTTCAAACTGCACTACAAACTCCCACTCTATTGTATCATAAGCTTTTCTCAAATCTATTTTGATCAGGCAGCTACTAGTAGTTTGTTTCCTGTTATACAGTCTTACCAAGTCTTGGCATATTAGAATGTTCTGAGCAATGGTCCTACCAGCCACAAAAGCACTTTGGTTGGGGGATATGATGCCTGGCAGGACTGTCTTCAACCTGTTTGTTAACATCTTGGATATTACCTTATAGATTGTATTACAACAAGCTATATGTCTGTAGTCAGTTACTGTGTCTGCATGATCTGATTTTGGGACTAGAGTCAGCACAGTACTATTCCATGCCTTCAATAATTTCCTTGTTTTAAAGAATTCCATTACTCCTGCTTCAAGATCCTCCTTTACTATTTCCTAGCAGTCCTTGAAGAACTGACTTCCATAGCCATCTGGTCCAGGTGCTTTATCTCCTGCTATCTCCCACAAAGCTTGATTCATTTCAGTTGTTGTGAACTCTTCAACCAGCATACCCCTTTGTTCCTTTGAGACTACAGGTCCTTTTTTAACAGTAGCACTGCATACCCTTCTTCTACTCTCAGCTTTAGTACCAAGTAGGTTAGAGTAATACTTCACAAATGCATTGGTAATCCCCTCTATATCATTGCTGTTCTCCCTTCAGTATCTTTTATAGTGAAGATTCTGTTAGCATTTCTTCTAGCTTTTAGCATGCTATGGAAAAATTTTGTGTTCATATCCCCTAAGTTCAGCCAATGTAGTTTACACCTCTGCTTAAGATACTGGTTCCTTGTCAGGTTCCAGTGTGAATACTCTTTAGCTAACCTTGCCTCTTCTTCAATCAGTCTTATGTTTAAAGGATCCTGCTGTAATTTCTTTTGGCTCTCCTCTAACATTGTTTTTGCCTGCTCAGCTTTCCCTTCTACATCCCCAAATTGAGTTCTCCTTATTTCTTTTAACATAGCTTTAAGTCTATTCAGTTTCCCCACCAATCTATACTGCTTAGTACCTGTGATCCCCTTATTCCAGCTTGATTCCACTTGTTGTTTGAAGTCAGTAGCTTGACTCCATATGTTGAAATATCTGAATCTGTACTGGCCGATTTTATGTCCTTGATCCCAGTTAATCACTGTTGGACAGTGGTCCATGAGTCCTTCATTTCCAAAGTGAACTTCTGAGGCTGGTAATTTCATCACCCAATCTCCATTAACTAGCACTCTGTCAATCCTGCTATAGACTCTACTAGTGTCTCCATGTTTATTGTTCCATGTGAAAAAGGATCCGGATGATTAAGTTCCTGTAATGAGCATCTCCCTACACACTCTTTAAATTCCTTTATTTCTGAAACTGTGATTGGACTCCCCACCCTTTCATCTCTGTTCAATACACAATTGAAGTCTCCCATGACTGTCCATGGTTTGTTAGTAACCCCGTGGATTTTTTCCAACTCTTGCCATAATTGTCTTCTTAAAGCTTGATCATTAAAACCATATACAAATGTTATTTGGAACTTATGCTGAGTCCCTCTATGTTCTACCTCACAATGCACCATTTGAGCTGATACTTCAGTGATATTTATATTGAAAATATTTGGCTTCCAAAGCACCCATATTCTTCCACTTGGATGATGAGCTAAGTTGTGACTAAAGGACCAACCATTACAAAGATTAAGAGAAGCTAGAGATGTTTTCTGCCTCTTAATCTTTGTCTCCAGGAATCCAAACAGGCCTACCTTAGTATTATGTAAGAAAAGATTCATTTCTTTCTGCTTTTCCTGCCTGTTTAGACCCCTCACATTCCAAAATCCCAATTTATCCATTTTGGAGGGGGATTGCATCTCCCCTCCCTGTTCCTGGACCCATCTCTATTTTCCTTTGTACTCCCCTCTGGTAATTTGTTGTTAATCTGTCTTTCCCTTGTTGAGTACCTTCTCCTTGTGTAATTTTTTTAGCTTTGTTTCTCCTATCTGTCATTGTTTGCTCTCTATTACTCTCCCCTGCAGTCTGCTCCTCTTCGTGATCCTCCAGTGTTGAGAAAGAGTTACTTACTGGCATGATAATCTGCTTTTGTAGAGCTTTCCCTTGTATACTTTTTGGCCGTTTTTCCATGCCATCCCCTGCTATAGCTGGCTTTTCCTGTTGTTCTTTCTTCTCCACAGGCTTCCATTATTTCCTTATTTGTTCTGCTTGTGTTTTTTGTTGTACTCTTCTGCATTGCTGGTCTGTGTGGCCAAATAATTTGCATTGTTGGCACATTGTAGGCTTCCATTCATACTTTATTTCCTGTTCAATTATTTGTCCTAATTCATTTTCAAACATCACTGAATATGGATATGCTTTGTTCAAAGGAACCTCCACCATTACCCTTGCATACATGAGTTTCTCCTTTCTCGTTGTTGCTGTATCAGCCTTCACAGGTTTCCCCACCAGCCCCGCTATTTTTGTTAGAGCTGCTTGCCCCCGGTACTTTAGATCTAGGCCCACTAATCGAATCCATATAGGTACCTGCTCCACTGTTACATTCGTTATCTCCATTCCTGGTTTCCATGGCTTAATTATCACTGGTTTTCGATCAAATATCTGCACTCCCCCTTCAATTGCCTTTGTGCGCCCTTCATTGCTGTAGAATCTGACCATGTATACTCCTTTTTTAATTTGAGCTACCTTATCAATTCCCAGATCCTTCCATATGCGATTGAAGTACCCCTCCACCACTGTTAACGGTGGATTTGACCCCAGTACAAAGCATACAACCGCTGTTTGCCAGTATTCTATTTCCTCTTTTACATCTTCCATCGTTATTTTGACATTAGCATTAGAATTCACTTCTTCTAGGTCAAATCCCTCAGTTACTAGTGTATTTCCAACTTATTTACTCCAGGATTTCACATTTGTAGCTAGGGCTTGAGATTTACCTATCGGTTCCTCCTCTATTTCCACTTTGTCTGCCCATGATTGCTTCCCACTAGACTGTAATTGATTGTTATTATCCTGTTGCTTAATTGCTTGCGTATCTATCGGAGTTGCCATTGGTGTCTGCTTTGATGTTCTCACCATAGGTGTCTGCTTCAGCTCCAACGGAATCACTCCTTGTAACACATTAATGCTTCTAGTTTTCTTTGCATCTTCAGTTTGCGGAATTGCTCTCATGCCAAGATTTCTCTGTTGATTTACCATTTCTCAATTGCCCTTTGAGAAATCTATTATTTACCAAGATATATTGATGATAATTGAATCAAATAGTGATGAATAGTTTAAGGACTCAATTAAAAATATATTATTTTTAACACAAAATGGATTCTTACACTTAACAAAAGAAAACTACCAATCAAACTAGAATGTAAAGGTAAAGAACTATACTAAAAGTGCAAACTATTGACATTTACCATTAAATTTTTGAAACTTTGTATAAAAATATACGTATATATAGGTGTAATACTAAATTTGAAATAGCTACTCCTATAGTCGGTTTGGTTCGGATTTTTTCTTATTAAAACCAAAACCAAACAAAATTTGATCGGTTTTTAAAAGGGAGAATTACACAAAAATACAGTCCACCCATATACATTGCATCAGAATAACCCAGTTACAACTTTGCAAATCTGTAGCCCATTAACAATAGGCCAAAGTTCGAAAAATAAGTATTTTTTTCTTCTTTTTTTTTTTTTATTCTGCAAGTCTTCAAGCACAAAAGTTTTGTTATTTTTTATTCTTCTTCCCCAAGTTTGTATATATTCCTATTCCAGCTACAAAAAATTTAAATTCATATATAATGCAACTTGAAAACCTTAAATTTTCTTCTTTTCCAAGATCCAAATAGCATAAATAAAAAATAAAAATTGAAAAAATTATTGCATGTTCATGATTTGGCAAATAAATCAACAAAAAAAGTCGATTTATACATAGATTAAACATATAAAATTTTAATTTTAGATTTAACTGCACATGTGCATTGCATGTATAATGATGTATAACTTTGTATAAACTTGTATATACAATACCTAATAATGTATATCAGAAAAATAAGACAAAGAAGAAAAAAAGAAGAAAGTGTCAAACATCCATGGATGCGTATTATACACATATAACGTATATACACACTTATACATTAAAAATATAGATAATTTATACAACATTGTACGCAGATATACACACTTATACATATTTATACAATATTGTATAAGTGTGTATAAACACTACCTATACAAATTTACACTAGAAAATACCTTCTGTCCATCACCACATTACAGATTTCGGTGGTTGCTGGTGTTGAATTTTTCCGGCGAGTTTTTGGCATTCAAATTTGGGCTTCACCAGTTGCAAAGGATGAAACAAAAACTAAGAGAAATAAGAAAATATGAGACGAGGATGCCGGAGATGCTCTTTTAGGCAAGATCTGATAGTTTTAGGCCAGATCTGTTAGTTTTTGGACTGATATGCCAAATTTTATAGCGGTTCCTTAACCTCTTTTTGTCAATCAACTCAAAAATCAAAATCGAATTGACATAGAATGCGAGGATTAAAGAGCCATTGTGCACATCTGTATAGAGCACAAAAATTACTGAAATGTTACAGTATTTGTTTTTGTTTCTTTACTTGAGTGCTCAAAAGCAATTATCACGAGTGTATAGAAAAAAATCCTGTAATTTTTAGGGAGAAGGAAGGAGAGGCGAATGAAGAGAGATTGAGTATGCTGAGAAAGAAGAAAGAAGAAAAGAAAAAAAACCCTAGAAGTATGTCTTTAATAATGGGCTAAAGAATGAAAAATTTCTTTCAATTATATGCAACATGGGCCATATCGGGTAAAGACTTCAAACCTAGGCCATTTTTAGTTGGGCTGCTGGGCCAAGTGATTAAATCCGTAATTCTTTCTTTTTAAAATTCAAAACCAAAACCAAACCAAACCAAAAAGTATTGGTTTTTTTGGTCGATTTGGTTCGGTTATTCGGGTTTTTATGAACACCCCTATCAAACATTTCAACTTTGGAAAAAAAAAAGTGCTTTTGGCTTGGAGAAACTTGGCCAAACACGAAGAAAATCACATCAGAATGACAATATAATTAACATATTTTAAATTCCTTCTTCATTTTATTTGCAGTATTTCTTTATCAGTTTATTTAATTAAAAAATACTTTTTATGTATTTAGAAAAAGACTTAATTTTAAAATTCTCTTGTATAATTAATTAGTGATATGCTTTTATAGCTACAGAAATTACATGATACATTTAAAACTTTAAGTTTCAAAAAAATCTTTTGATCTTAAACTTCATACTTAATCAAACTATGTCACATAAATTTCAACTAAGGAGATATCAAACATTATGGATAGAACAAGAACAAGTTGCAGGGTTGACACGTACATTTTATACTTGCTAGCTATATATATATATATATATATATATATAGGACTATTTGGTTGGAAATGTGTACTGGTCATAATATTATTTTGTAACAATAAAGTAATATGAGACCAAGGGAATAAATTTACATTATTTGCATTGACCTAAAGAAAGCTGTGAACTGGCATTTTGGGGTCTTGCATGTTTGTTAGAATGAGGATATCAAAACATTTGCAGTTCAAAAGTTTGACAATTAAAGAACTTCACTTGTGTTGGTCAACATAGCCAATTAAGTCGCAATTTTGTAGACAGTACGTAGACCATCATGCCGGATTGGTCGGTAGGACAAAGGGTGTTGGTAAAATCGGATGATTATGGAGAATAAAAAGTTTAGCTTGAGGCGTGTCAAAGACATTGTCCTTAAGGATATTTCGCCCACATCGAGATGAATAATATTAAGCGTATCCCCCAGGATTCAACAAGTTCTTCTAGTATAAACTAGGAGCAGAAACAACAAAGATTGAATAAAATAAAACCCAACACAAAGAAGAAAATTAGCAGATTGCTTTTTCACTCTCACCAAACGAACACAAACGTATACTTATATATAGCCAAAAGTAGACATCTGATTTTGAAGAACATTGCATATTGAAAGTAATACCAAAACGTTATCAAAGTTAACAAAACAGACGTCACATGTATTTAAGCCAAAAACGTTATCAAATAACAAATCTCTTATCATCAAAAGTCAAACTATTTTTAATAGTCATAATGATAGTCATTTAAGGTTAGTAAAATTATTATATTCAAAGTTATATAAATTTTCAGTTATAGATTTATAATAATAGCCACTATTAATCATGACTAGTAAGTGATAGTGAATATGTTATATTTTATTTTTGAGATAAAAGAATTATCTTCTAACAATCCCCCACATATCTCAAAAATAATATCACATAATAAAATAAAATAAGAAATTTTGCTGGGTTTTAACAAATGAGCATAATGCGTCAAATCTAGTGTCTCTTGGACTATGAACCAGACCTAGATAAAATAAGATTAAACTTACAGAACAATTGGTGAAGTTTAGAACTTCTATGAACCAAGAATTTTTTTGTAAGTTTAGTGTCTTATCTATCACATTATACTCGCACACACTTTGTTGTTTATCGCGGTTTTGCGCTAATAGGCCATGCGCGCACGTGATTTTCATGAGTTCTCTAGAAATTTCGCCACAAATTTCATAGGAGCAGCCCCACTCCACACTCATATAGGTCCATCCATCAAGTGTATTCTGCAGCACAATACACCACCTATAAAAGGCTATGGATTATTAGATTAAGAGTTTAATAACTCAGTCTCTCATTCCTTGCAGTCTTGCACTATATATACACACACCATAGGAAGGGATATAATTAATTGTGCACATTTGATCAACTAATGACTTGTTATTACCCGTATGAACCTACTTCATGGGATCTCCAATCACATAGGTTGGGTTACCATCATAGTTGATATAACTCAAATTGGCAAAAGTCTCATTCCCCTCGATGTTTCAGATATTAATTTTCTTCCCAAAGGTTTAGTCAGAGGATCGGCAAAATTCACTTCTGACTTCACATAATCTATGGAAATAATTTCATCTTTCAGCAGCTGCTTTATGACATTATGTCTCAATCGGATATGTCTACTCTTCTCATTAAAGGATTTATTTTTGGCAATGGCTATTGCAGCTTGGCAATCACAATGCATCGACACAGAAGGTGTCGGTTTCATTCCTAGTGGAATACTCGCCAAAAGGTTCTTTAACCACTCGGCCTCATTGCCAGCTAATTCCAATGCCACAAACTCAGATTCCATGGTAGATCTAGCTATTATTGTTTGTTTAGCTGATTTCCATGCCACAGCACCCCCACCGAGGGTGAACACATAACCACTAGCGGATTTTGTCTTATCTGAATCAGATATCCAGTTAGCATCACTGTATCCTTCTAGTACAGTGAAAAATCCACTATATTTAATACCATAGTTCATGGTACCTCTCAATACTCTTACCAATGCATTCCAATGATTATGACTTGGGTTTTGAGTATATCTACTCAATCTACACACAGCATATGCAATATCAGGTCTAGTAAAATTCATCAAATGCATTAGACTACCAATAACTTGAGCATATTTATTTTGATCTACAGGATCTCCCTCATTCCTTTTTAATTGACTACAAGCATCATAAGGAGTGCGTACAGGTACCACATCAAAATTATCAAATTTTTTTAAGAATTCTTTCAACATAATGTTCTTGAGTCAACATCTGTGATGACCCAAAAGAAATTGAATTCTATGTTCCGAGGCCTTGAAAACCTCATTTAGCATCATCTCGAATTGCGTGCGCAGTCCGGACGCGAAGCCGGAAAAGCTTATGTGTGAAAAATGATAAATTTTAACTGTAAAATGAATAAATTTGACTTCGGTCAACGTTTTGGGTAAACGAACCCGGACCCATGATTTGACGGTCCCGGAGGGTCCGTAGGAAAATATGGGACTTGGGCGTATGCCCGGAATCGGATTCTGAGGTCCCAAGCCCGAGAAATAAATTTTTAAAGAAAATTGCTTTCTGAAATTGTTTAAAGGAATTTGAAATGAAATTTGATTAGAACATGATGGTATCGGGCCCGTATTTTGTTTCCGGCGCACGCATAGGTCTTATATATGATTTTAGACGTTTCTGTGGAATTTGGTAAAAAAAGGATGTCATTTGACGTGATTCGGACCTAAATTGCTAAAATTGATGTTTTAAGAAGCTTGGAATAGTTCTTTGATTTTGAGGTTTAATTCGATGTTCGTGATGTTATTATGGCGATTTGATCGCAAGAATAAGTTCATATGATGTTTTTGAGTTACTATGTATGTTTGGTTTGGAGCCCCGAGGGCTCGGGTGAGTTTCGGATAGGCGTCGGAGTGTTTTTGGACTTAGAAAATCTGGTGTTTTTGCTAGTTGCTGGTGTCCGGGTTTCTGTTCTATGCAATTGCATAGGAATGTCCGCGATCGCATAGAGTTAATATTGGTAGTCATAAATTTGTTCTATGCGATCGCATTAATTCTTCCGCGATTGCATAGAGTTAATTTTGGTAGTTATGAATTTGTTCTATGCGATCGCATTGATTCTTCCGCGATCGCATAGAGTAAATTTTGGGAGGTCACAATTTGTTCTATGCGATCGCATTGATTCTTCCGCGATCGCATAGAGTAAATTTTTGGGAGGTCACAATTTGTTCTATGCGATCGCATTGATCCCTTACCCTATGCGATTGCATTCCTTTCTTCGCGATCGCATAGAACAAAAATCCGCGCAGTTATTTAAGCTCAAAAACAGAATGCATTACGAGGAATTGGCCATTTTTCATAAACCCCTTCTTCTCCAGAGCTCTTAGGCGATTTTTGAAGCACTTCCTCACCATAATCTCTTAGGTAAGTAATCTTTAACTTTTCTTCCATTTTCATCAACATCTATTAGATTATAGGCCTAAAAACATGAGATTAAGGGTAGAAAATTGGGGATTTGGGTAGAGTTAGGGCTTTTTGATTATTTGGGAATTTGACCTCGTTTTGGGGTCGGATTTCAAAACAAATTATATATTCGGGATCGTGGGTGAATGGGTGATCGGGTTTTGGTCCGAACCTCGTATTTTGACCAAGCGGGCCCGGGGTCAATTTTTCAATTTTTGGGAAGAATTATTAGAAAGCTATAATTAAACATTGGAATTAGATTGTTTAGCGTTTATTGACGTTATTAAGTCGATTATGTCTAGATACAATTGATTTGGAGCTAAATTCAAAAGGGAAAGCGGTGTTTGAGGCTTGAGTTGGCCGTGAAAGTTCGAGGTAAGTGTTTGGTCTAACCTTAGATTGAGGGATTAGGAGTTGAGTCCTATTTGCTATGTGGTAATTGTTGAGTACGACGTATAGGCATGGTGACGAGTATCTATACGTTGGTGTCTAGCATGCCCGTGGGTCTTATATTGTGATTTTCATGACTTCGTTGTATCTTTCATGTCTTGGTGATGGTTTATATATGTTGTGTAAAGTTTGTGGAAGGAATTGTGACCTGTGAACATTTAAGGAGCGTTGGCTCAAGTTGTGTAACGAATTGTGAAAGTGTAAGTGATAATTGAATCTCTAGAGCATTGGCTCGAGTTATAAAGTGAATTGTGAAGTAAAAGTGATAAAGAAAGGAAGTTATTATGTTGACACCCTTGCCGGGCTATTGTTGATTTATTGGTTATCTCCCTTGCCGGGATATTGATATTACTGATGTTGTTCCTTTGCCGGGATTTATTTGTTGGATTGTTGCTCGCTTGCCGGGATCTTTATTGCAATTTCATTTATTCATTGTTTGTGATTGTTGTTTGAGTGAGGAAGAGAGTTAAATCACGAAGGGTGATGCCGTGCATTGTTTGTTTTGTGAGGAAAGAGTGTAAAGCACGAAGGGTGATGTCGTGCCGCACGATGTACCATTCCGTGCCTATTATATTGATTTCATGGTGAGGAAAGAGTGTAAAGCACGAAGGGTGATGCCGTGCCCACGATGTACCATTCCGTGCCTATTATATTGATTCTTATGGTGAGGACGAGAGTAAAAGCACGAAGGGTGATGCCGTGCACTTGTCCTTGATTTCCCTGATTCTTGCTGATAATTGAGTTATGTTGTCCGTTACGTTTATTTACTGATTTTCTGTTGTTACTTGCTTTTATTTCGAGGTTATAGATTCCCTTACCCTATTTGCCTTGTGATTGTTGTTTCGGTGAGGAAGAGCGTAAAGCACGAAGGGTGATGTCGTGTATTATTTTGGTGAGAGAGAGTAAAAGCACGAAGGGTGATGCCGTGCACTTGTCTTTGATTTCCTAATTTCTATTGATAGTTAGTGTCGCGGTTTCTCTACACTAAATTGCTGGTTTCCTGTTGATACTTAGTGTACCCCGCAGCATGATTTTTCCTTCCTATTTTCAATTGAACTGTGGTGATCCTCATATTTATTTGTTGCTCTTCTGTTACTATTCGATGTTTCCCCGCAGCATGCTTTCCCCCTCCCATACTTGATCGTATATGACTGTATCTTTTTGTACTTCTTTTGCGTTGTATATAGTTAAATTGCATAGGTTTACCTGGTAGTCTGGTCCTAGCCTCGTCACTACTTCGCCGAGGTTAGGCTAGGCATTTACCAGCACATCGGGTCGGTTGTGCTGATACTACACTCTGCACTCTTTTGTGCAGACCCCAGTGTTGTAGACTTCGGACCGCAGTGGGATTGCTGATTCTTGTTCATCAGGCGACCCGAGGTAGTCCTGCAGGCGCCCGCAGGCCTTGGCGTCTCCTTCTATCTACTATTCCTGTTTCTTTCATGCAATTCCAGAGACAGTGTTGTATTTATTTCTTTCAGACCTTTATTTGTAGTATTCTTAGACCGTCTGTGAAACCAGTTCTGGGTAGTCGAGACTCAAACAGTTGTATTAAATATTCATGTTCAGATAGCTTATTGTTTTTCTTCCGCTTATGTTAAATTCCGCTGTTAAAATGATATTTCTTCGTAATTGTTAAAGGATATAGAATGGGTAAAAAGATAAATAATTAAACTGGTTGGCTTGCCTAGCTTTCACGAGTAGGTGCCATCACGATTCCCGGGGTGGAAAATCCGGGTCGTGACATAACCTTAACTTGCAAGAATACAAAATTGAAAGGAAATATCGCGGCAGTTACTTTTCCTCCTCTTTGTTCAGAAATTGTTAAGAGATTTGCTTTAGTAATGTTCTTATTTGGTCAAAAATTGTTACCGTGCGCCGTTGTGGTTGAACAGAGTGTGAACTTCAAGCTAACAGAATACTGAAGATAAAGCTTTACGCGTCGAATAAAGTCAATCTTTATTAAATAAGTAAAACAGAAAAAAAGTGTAGCAACAAAAGCAAACCCATAAAACTTTCAGATAGAATGGTAATTAACGAAATCTTATTTTGCCATGAAGTAGTAGAAGATGAGATATGGGGAGAAATAGAGGGTGACGGCAGGAAGGGAGATAGGAGAGAAAGAAGGAAAAAATATAATTAAATTGAAGCCTTTTAAGGTGGATTGTATATATTTAATAAATAAAATTTATTTATGCCGGGTATCTCAAATCCCGACTGACCCGCAAGAAAAAACCTGTCAAGGAAGGACACACAATAATCCTGAATCGAATTGCTAATTATGTGTCAACCTTCCCGATGCATTTTCTGCAACAATTCGTCACATGCTGCCTCTCCCTTCTCGGGGTGCTAAAACACCCATTCTTATCCATCTACTATCTTCTTTCTATAAATAGCAAATATAGAATTTAGAAGGAAATTAAGCATATATATCTAGTGTAGATAGAGAAACAGAGAGAATGTTGATGGGGATAAGCTTGCAATGCATGATGGACTTGGTCGTTGCTGGTTTTTCCCTTATGATTGGATTAGGGATTTTCGCTTTCATTGCTTCAATTCTCTGTTCTGCTGCTTTTTACCAGAATGCTAAGCAACTTTCTTGAATCTACACTCCCTTATGGATTTATTAGGTATCAAGATTTGTGCTTTTTTCTTGCTTTATATTGTGGGTGTTTGAAATTTCAATTTCCGTGAAAATTTGTTCCTTAAAATTGTACCTTTTTCTTGGAGAATTAGAGTATTAATCTACTTCAGTTGAGCTCCGAAATTTAGTCAAATAGAGTATGATCAGCATAATTAGGATGGGTTTGCATTAATTGAGACGATTAATGAGGAATAGATAACCCCAGATAATTTTGGTTTTATTTGAGGCATCTTATTATTGTTTATACAATTATACTATCTCCTGATGAAGATGAGCACTTGAGCAGCAACAGGAGCTGGATCTAGTCAATAAGCTATGGGTTCATCTGAACCCAGTAGCTTCAGCTTAGACTATTTATATGTGTCTAAAAATCACTAAATAAGTAGAAATAATAGATTCTGAACACAGTAAAGTAGTTAAAATGTGGTAGAGTTCCGAATCCGGACCCATAAAGTTCAAAATCTGGGATCCGCCTTTCAGCAGCTACTCTTTGTTTGAAGATACATTTAACCTGAAGAAAATATTACTGGAAAAAAGGCCTTAATTTCATGATTCTCTCAAACTCCAAGTTGGTGGCTGAGTGTATGAAAACTGCTAGGGTTTATACAATTAGTACTCTAATAATTGAATAGGTTAAACTATGATGGCAAATTTGATTTGAAGTACCACCTTTTTAACAGATAAGGTCATCTAAGGTACTTAAGGACCAAAACAGTGTGAGGATGATGCGAAGTCCCCTTCAAGGTGTAAAAGAAGAATGTGAAATCTATGTTGCTTGGACTCTCCGAAAATGTGGTCGGATACGTGTCGGATCCTCCAAAAGTAGTGCATTTTTTAAGGATCCGACACGAGTGCGGCTATACTTTGGAGAGCCCGCGCAACATAATCTGAAATTCTGTTATTTCCTTCTCTGCAAATATCATTTTTTTTGTCATATTGACCTTGGAGTTGAACTTATACTGCCTTAGAACCAATTATTTACTCATATGTAGACTGCCATCATGTTATTGCTAGTATATAGAGAGAGTTAGAGTGTGATATTGATGAAGAACTTGTCAAGTACTAACAGAATGACTAAAGATTAGTGGTGAATGGAGAAGAAAACAACAATTTGCTAACAAGGAACTCTGATATCCTTATGTATCTTCCCTCGGCTCCGTGTTTCAACCTTACAATGCCTTTATGAGCTTGCTCAAATACTCTAATGGATTTGTTTTCAACTGTTCCATGGAGATGTCAAGATTCTTCCATAAACTGACTAAAAATTGGGGTTAGACAAAAATCTTAAGTGACTGTATCCTCCTTGATGTGAGCTTTCTGTAAAAGTTGCTAGTGTCTTGTGTGCACAAAAACATGCCTTAGATCCATCTAGTTTTAGTTTACAGTCTAATACGAGGTTTATGAAAGGATATATTATATCTGTCACCTAAAGTGCCTAACATTCCCACTGTCTTTAGCATTAAGCAGTGTTTTATATGGTGTAATACTCGAGGCAAACTAGAGTATTGCACTAAGGAGGTCTTTGATCAGACTAAGACAAGTTGGTAGGCCCTTCTCTGTCTTCAATTATGAACTGTAACATAGCCTATAGATGCTAATAACATAGGCAATAAATATATCTCGTCTCGAATTTTTTCATCGGTCGAGGTCAAAATACCCAAAATTGTTCGGCCGGATACGATACGGATTTCATACCCACACCCATACTAGTGTCGTGTCGACACGGGTGCGGCACCTAAACTGCCGTGTCGGAGCAATTTAGCATGTGGGTCTTATAATTTCATAGGGCATGAAAATTAAGATGGAATTGTAGTTGTTTTGTACTGAGCGTATCGACAAATATGCATCATACTATGATTTGGTAAATAGAACTTGAAACTGTGTAGAAGTGAGTCGTGTAGTACCTTTATTTTCTTATATAATTGGATGGTTTTATTTTAGAATGAGAAAACCTTTCTTTCCAGAAGTGAACAGTATTTTGAACTGAAAAATGGAGCAATAGGACAATCAGTCTGGATTTATATGCCTAATGAAACATCATTACCTATTGGAGAATTTGTAGTCAGTTGGTGGTTTCAGTGAAACTGTAAATCAAATTACTCAGCCTCCATTCAAAACTAGACGTCTCTTCCCCACCCTCATCTACCCCTAGAATAGAACAAGCAGTAAATCTCTTTAAAGACAGAGGAGTTCTGCCCCCAGGGCTTGGTTTAGAGGTAAGAGCATAGCTTGTGCTTGTGATGTGTGGGCTAGGCGCAGACGGGTCCAAACCTTGCCGCAAACAAAAGCTTGGTGTTTAGTTGGAGAAGGGTAGAGGGACGGGCCTATTATCTACCGAGTCTCGAATTGTGCGCCACTAGCCCTTGGGAAATTAGTTGGTAACATCTCCTCATGGTTCCCTCTGGCTGAAACAAAACAAGAACAGGCACCATTCTTATCGAATCTTTGTTCTTTTGCTTGTCACGAAATAATGAAAGAGCTTAGCTTAGAGTACTATTTTAGTGCATTTGTGAATAAACAATAAACCAATGAACCATAGTTTCAATAATTTAGTTATATTACTGCTATTATTCTATCCTTGTGAGGAGGTGTGAGAGGTTGGCAGTGGTGGGTCTAAGGAGAGGTAGAGGTAGACCGAAGAAGTATTGGAGAGAAATGATTAGATAGGACATGACACATCTTAAGCTTATCGAAGACATGACCCTAGATAGAATGTTATGGAGATAGGACTAGGGTACAAGGTTAGTAGGTAGTGAGTTTGGGACACCGTAGTTGTTCCTTATTTTCCATATCAGTATTATTATTATTATCATTTTCGGTATTATCTTATCTCACGTTCTCTATTACTACTTGTTGTTTCCATTGTTTCGGTCATCTTATCGCTTTGTTATTTTGCTGTTGTTACTGTTCTTATCTGCATTATTCTCAACTGTTCACTACTGTTTTCCTTTTCAAACCTGCTTTGAAATGCTTTTCTTTAGCTGAGGGTCTGTCGGAAATGGTCTCTCTACCTCCAGAGGCGGATCTAAGAATTTAATTCTATTGGTTCAGCATTTAAAGTTATGGGTTTATATCTACTATTTGTTACAATTTTAGTAATTTTTTACACGTAAATTTACACTTCGCGTCGAAAGTACTGGTTCAGTTGAACCCGCTAATTATATAGTGCATCCGCCCCTGTCTACCTCCACAAGGTAAGGTTAAGGTCTGTGTACACGATATTCTCCCCAGACCCCACCTAGACCCCACCTGTGGGAATACACTGAGTACGACGTTGTTGTTGTTACTGCTATTATCTCTACGTGCACAAACTGACTGATTCATGGCTTGATATGCAGGGTAGATATCGACACTACAGAGGTTATTTAAAGCCAAAAACAAAAACAAAAAAAGATGGCAGACAAAAATTCAAGAAATAAAAGGGGTTTCTCCACTGTCCTTTTTACTTAATCAGGCACTATTGTTGTTTGTATGCCAGGAGCTGCTGGAGAGATGAACTAACTGATTAGCAGTAATAGTTATGCTGTTTGTAATAGATAGAGAGAAGTATTTCCTCGTAGAAAAAAGGCATTTGTATGCAATAGTAGAATGAATATGCAGTTTTGAGACGGCGGGTATTGTCTATTTTTTTTTATATTTTCTTGTGTTCTAGAATGTTGTGTCTTACTATCTCGCTTTTCAATGCAGGGCCTTTTTATTAGCTTTGCATCTTTCTTCTACATTTAATATTGTCCCTATTTTTCCTACTATTTATGTGGATTACTAATATTGTCTCCTTTTGCCTTTTTGTTTTCTTGAGCCGAGGGTCTTCCGGAAATAGCCTCTCTACTCCTTCGGGGTAGGGGTAAGGTCTGCATACACACTACCCTTTCCAGACCCCACTAGTGGATTTTATTGGGTTGTTGTCGTCGTCGTCTTGTGTTCTAGAAACTTCTTTAATGCTTCTTCAAAAGAGCAGCATGCCTTTGAAGTTGACATTGGAATATGCCCTATGGGTGCATTTTGCTGATTGCTTTTACATTCTCTGTTCCAACTAAGAGTTTCTCTGTCCACATTTAACAATTATAAATAAATAAATAAAAAGATTATTTAAAAAAAAAAAAAAAAAAAAAACCCGTCCACACTAAATGTTTTATCAAATACAAAGTAGCGAATTAGTGGGTTGATTAGTTTGAACCGAGGCTCTAATCGTTGATATTCCTTTGATCAATGATTTTAGTAGCTTAAAAGAAAATAAAATGTTAATTACCGCCAAATTAAGAAATTCGGGGACTAACGTAATTTCTTATTCTTATACAGAAAGCATTTTCCTCGGCTTGTTCTGGTACGGACTTGTTTATACAACAAAGAGGTGTACTATAGGGCAGAGGCAAGGCTTTTGCGCTGATTTAAATCACTGAGATGTGTTATTCTTATTGATATGATCGATTCGGATTTCAGACTAAGTGTTAGATATCTCCCATAGAAGCTCAATTGAAAAAGAATGAAATGTTCTGTTTTTTCATTAACTGAAAATGAGAACAACTCACAGATATTTATCAACTAACTCCTAATTAGTTAATATTATGCTAAATAACAAATAGCTACCACTAACTTCTAATATGTACAAGTTGACCCCTATACTAACTAGTTGAATATATACATCACTCCAACACTCCCCCTCAAGCTGGAGGGTGCAAAATGTTTAACACTCCCAGCTTGCCAAGTAGATCAAAATCGAATTTTATGGAATGAACACCAAACCCTCGAATTCTCTCTTTTTCTGCCAGACAAACCGCACCTGCGAACCCCTCTTCGCACCTACGGCCACTTAAGTGGGCTGGGAAACGCATCTGCAAGCTATGGGCCGCACCTGCGAGCCGCTCCTGCGGTCCCCAACCGCTTCTGCGGATTCCTTACCGTATCTGCGGACCCAGCTGGTCTGGCCAAATTCCGCTTCTGCGGTTCCTTAGCCACTTCTGCGGCTCTACACCTGCGGTCCAAAATGCGGAAGTGCGAAAACACCAGGTGCAGCAACTTCAGCAATTTGCATAAGTCTCAAACCAATCCGTTAAGCACCCGAAACTCACCCGAGGACCCCGGGACCTCAACCAAACATACCAACCAATCCTAAAAGATCATAAGAACTTAGTCGAGCTCTCAAATCGCATCCAACAACGCTAAAACACAAATCACCCTCCAATCCAAACTTAATGAACTTGAATCTTCCAAATTCGACAACCGATGCCAAAATCAACCAAACCACGTCCATTTGACCCCAAATTTTGCACACAAGTCATATTCAACACTACGGACCTATTTCAACTTCCAGGATTGGCTTCCGACCCTGATATCAAAATTCCACTATCAGTCCAAAACTCCAAAAATTCGACTTTCGCCATTTCAAGCCTAAATAAGCTACGGACCTCCAAAACACAATCCAGACATGCCCCTAAGCCTAAAATCACCCAACGGAGCTAACGGAATTGACGAACTCCATTCCGGAGTCGTCTTCACACAGTTCCGACTATGGTCCAAATCTTAAGACTTAAGCTCTCATTTAGGGATTAAGTGTCCCAGAGCACTCCGAAACTCAAAAAGAATCATCCCAGCAGGTCAAATAGTTGAAAAAAGATACAGGGGAAGCAGTTAATAGGGGATCATGGCGTTAATTCTCAAAATGACCGGCTGGTTCGTTACAAGCCTCAACCCAACCAAAACAACAACACAACAATAAGTTTGAAAACATTTAACGGAAGCCTTTAACATTTAGAGAAACTATTTGAACATAAGTAATTCTAAAATAAGAAACAACTGCCCAAAATCAGGGTGTCACTGAGTGCATGAGCGTTTAAAGGAGAACATAGTGTATTATAACGTTTAAGGAAACAAACTGAAATACATCTAGAGATAGAGATGGAGAGTCAAGGCCTGCAAACGCCGTGCAGATACCTCGATAGTCTCCTAAAGCCTAAAGCCCCGATCAGCGACTGCCACTGGGACAAAAAGTGCCTGGATATGCACACAAGGTGCAGGGGGGTAACGTGAGTACACCAAATCAGTAAGTAATGAGTCCAAACTATGGACTGAAAGGTAGTGACGAATTCAACCTCAACAGATATAATAGAAAGAACGTACAGAAATGTCGGCATGCTTTCAGTTAAATACACAGCTCAAAGTAATAAGGTAAATACAAATCTGAACAGTTTAAGATATATAACTCAACTGCCTCTACATGCCAATGTACCGACTGTGTGAAATGCACAATGTACTCCCACTCTCAAGTGCTCAACCACTCGGTACTAAATATGTCCATTCGACCCAGGGAAATCCATCCCGGAACATATACAACACTGACTGCGAGTCACTTAGTACTGAGGAAAAGGGCAATCCAACCCTGCGGAGAAATCCATCTCCAGGTATATATATAAATACTCAACCACTCGGTACCGTATATGGCCATCCGGCCTAGGGAAATCCATCCCGGAACATACTCATCACTGACTATAAGTCATCAGGTACCGAGGAAAAAGGGTAATCCAACTCTGCGAAGAAATCCATCTCCAGATATCAATACTTTGGACAAATCCATGTCCAGGGAAATCCATCCCTCAATAATATCATCCGCGCCCATTGGGAGTGTGCAGACTTCGGAGGGGCTCCTACGGCCCAAGTGCTATCATAATCAATATATATGATGCGCGTGCAGCCCGACCCTATAACTGTCACTCAAAATCAGGCTCACGGCCTCACTCAGTCATCACTCTCCAGTCTCACCCACGGGCTCACAATGTCATATAAACTAGCTCGGAAACAATGATATGCTATGCCAATAATAACAACTAAGACTGAAATATGATATGAAATGCATGAATATGACTGAGTACAAAATAATAATGAAATCAGTGAAATGACAGCAAGAAACGACCACTAGGGGTCCCAACAATATCGGCTTGAAGCCTTAACATGATATCTAGCATGCTTTACAGCTCAACTACTTTATTACATAATGGAAACACAAATATCAACAAGAAAGAGTCATTAAACGATGCCATGAAATGAACCAGGTCATGATTCTCATGGTGCACGCCTGCACGCCCACCACTTGGCATGTGCGTCACCTCAATACTAACCACATTACACGTAGTTCGGTGTTTCGAACCCTCAGAACCAAGTTTGAAAGCGTTACTTACCTTAAACCTAGCAAAAAAAATACTCCGCAATGCCCTTGCCTCTCGAATGAACCTCCAAACGCCCCGAATCTAGCCACAAACAATACAATACGATCAATATAGGCTAAAGGAATCAATTCCATAAGAAAAACACCAACTTCATAGCAATAATCCGAAATTGGCTCAAACCTTGTCCCCGGGCCCACATCTCGAAATCCGACAGAACTTACAAAAGCCGAAAGTCCATTCACTCAAGAGTCTAACCATACCAAATTTACCAAAATTCGACATCATTAGGCCCCCCAAATCCCCAAATTATTCTCTCCGAAATCCCAAGTCCTAACCCCCAATTTTCACTTCATAATCCCACTAATTAGATGAGAAATCAAGGGAAAACACAATAGCTAAGGCTACTTAGGCCTCATTTGTTTTTTTTAAGATTAAGACGTCTGAATCTTAATACACATCTGAATATTAAGATGTGTATTAAGACTAAGACATCTGAATCTGAATACATATCTGAATATATTAAGATGTGTATTAAGATCTGAATACTAAAAATTAAGACTGTTTGATTTTTAATATCTGAATGCATAAAATTTATCTTTATTTGAAAAATAATAAACATAATATTCAAATGCAATACTAACTAATCTAATATTCTATCAATAAAATATATAGTTTTTTAAAATATGATAGTTGTTGGTGGTGATGGCTAGCGGGTGAATACCGACTAGAAGCGGTGGTTGGTGGTAGTTTTGGTTGGTGATGGTGGTTCATGATAGTAGCTAGTAGTGATTGGTAGTGATGGCGATTATGATTGAGGATGGTGGTGGTGGGTGGTGATAGTTAATAATGGCGGATAGTGGTTTGTGATTAAGAAAGGTGGTGGTAGGTTATAATGATGGGCGGTGCCGGTTGTGGTTGTTAATGGTGATGGGGTGGTTGGTTGTGGTAGTTGAGGTGGATAAGTGTTGATTGTGGGTGAGAATAATGGTGGTCCAAGTGGTGAGGATGGTGGATAGTGATGGTCGATAATGGTGGCGGCTATGATTGAGGATGATGGTGGCGTGGTGGTGGCGGCGGCTGAGTATGGTGGTGGTGGTGGTTGAGTATGGTGGTGGTGGTGGTTGAGTATGATGATGGTGGTGGCAGTTGATAATGATAGGCGGTGGCGGCAGTTAATAATGAATATGTGATAGCATCTTAATGAAATTAAGTCTCTGTTATAGATCTTAATCATACAGGCCTATTCAGACCCATTAAGTGGTTGTGAAGTAAAAAAAATAAACACACTTAATGATTAAGAGCTGAATAATTAAGATTCAGATTTTAAAAACAAACGCACTTAATGTATGAGATCTGAATGGTTAAGATTCAGACCTCCATTAAGTGCAAACAAATGAGGCCTTAGGCTCAAGGGACTTACATCAGTGAAAATCCTTGAATCCCCTTCAAAAATCACCTTAAAAGCTCCAAAGTCCGAGTTGAAAATGGTGGGAATGAGGAAAAATCACGAAGTCCTCAATTTATACATTCTGCCCAGCGATACCGCAC